TATATATTTAAGACAGGTAACCAGTCGATGACAAAACAATAATAACCACAGCTTCTTGTTGTCGCTTTTTTGCTGCACGTAATTTTCCACCATTTTTTTTCCAATTTTTGTTTGTTCCAGACTTGTCTATGCGTCGATGAAAATTTCCCCTGTCTGCTCATTGAACAGCAAAACCTCTACAAAATAAGATCCATCTTAACGGATGAAGCGAGACCAAGGTGAAATTTTTCTGGCCGGTGGCTGTTCCGTAGCGTTTTTCGAAGCGTTCTATCGAACAAGAGACTACCATCCGGTCCACAGTTTCCTCGCTCATGAAGGAAGGCCGAAAAGGAGATACGGGACGATCATTTACGACCACAGTTTAATGACACTTAAGTTGAGAAGTTATAGCTAAACAGAACTACAGTATTCACAGTACAAACAGACACTTGAAAAGAGGGCATGAGCAAATGCAAGTGTGCATCAATCGGCTGAGGCAAATACAAACTGAGATAAAGCTGACAAAAAATCAGTTTACAAGTCATACGTATTACGTCATGGAATTTTTTTACCAGTTACGTCACAATCACAACCGTACCTGTTATATCACACTGCAGTTCTAAAAAGTACGTAAAAAGTGGAAGTTGAAAGGTAAAGCAAAAACAGATACATCTGTACTCAAGCTGCCGACTCACTGTGAGCGACGGCCCGTCGCAGCGATAAGACAATAATGCCAAGTGGTCATATGGACATCTTTCACAGTTATTGTTGCTATAATTATTATATAGATAGATGCTGGCAATTATGTTTATGCTGTAGCAATTTCGACATCTTAGAGGCCAAACAACTTTTGGAAAATAGGTCTTAAGTTTAGCCTGCCTATGAGTGCCATTGCGAACAGATGTCTATATTTATGTCAAGATCAAACATACATTTTCTAATCCTTTTTGTCTGGATTTAACATTCTTATATATCATTATATTTATGTTTATATCCGTTAAACACTATACGAATAACATACAAACAATAGCTCTACTTTTCCATCTATCACTTTTATTGATTTATAATTGCACTTTATTCTAGACTAGTTTAACCATTTTGCCAACAAAACATAACATTCGCAGCAGAATGAGAAATTTTTTCTGGTATATCTACACCCAAATATAGATAAAACTCTTTTTCATAGTCAACATACAACTTCATGTAACTGTTGTATATATGTAACTTGTGATGGTTATGCTGATATGAGGTACACATGCTGATTCAGTCACCAACATTTGGTAACAAAATGAACGAGCACATATTATCTAACTAGATCGAATGGGAGGGAAACTTACTACACATCGACATGATTTCTATCCATCGTCGACAAGTTCCGTTTTCCCAACTTTTTGTACAAACTACTGTGTAGTACTTTTTTATATTTGGACATACTATGCACTGTGGTTCTTAAAACATAATCATTATGCGAAGCTGCCCCACAGAGTAATAGCAGCAACAACAGCACCTCCAACAATAGCCTTCTCCGCAAGAACATCCACAGCAGCGACAATGTGATATAAGTCACATGTGATTTTTTTCCTGTATAGCAACAATGACGACGATCAGCACGCACGAGTGATACGGTCAAAAATTATCCACTAGCATCCCGCACTTCGTCACCCACGTAGTTCATCTTGATGCTTACTGCCGTCAGAGAGATTTTCATTTCCGTAATCGATTCAAGCAATGGAATTAGGTGATCTGTGTAAGCAACCCTCTTCGGGATGGGGGGGCCCCTTTACTAAGTGGACACGAAAACCCCTTAGGTTCCCTCGACGTCGGCTCCATTTTCCCTGGATATCGGTCGCTTAGTATATCTTTTCGATTACGTGCCGCAATGTTCGTCCATGTGGTACGAGCGGAGAGGATATCATCACCACAGCAACTCTATCAACAGACGGGGATAAATGCTCTGGTAGATGTTGGACGTGTCACCACAGTTCGTCGAGAGATTTGTTTATGTTAAAAAGCATATTTTTTGAAAGTAGGTAGCTCGGCTTATCTCGCGCGTCTAAGTACCAGCAAGTGTCTCTAGAACAGACGTATTTTCCCCGTACTCATTATCATAATCGGGGTGTATTAAGAATCAGAGAAGCTGTGGGTTACTCCCAGCCTTTCCAAATCCACCAGCTGGTAGATAAATTAAAAAATAGAGTTCTTAGCCGACGTTTTGCTCAAACTTCGCCCATCCGGTCCAGCTGATGGCGTTCGAAGAGCCTATTACGCTGTGCTTGAGTGCAGACGCTCCTCGTATGCCTACTCACAAATGTTTCATTTATGGCAATGTGACGTACCGGGGGTAATGGAGCTGCTGACACGAATCATAAATAGAATAGTAATAATACACCAAGCTGTTGTTCAGTCCCTCATACCGGCGGAAGGTGAGGCATCTGCACGCCATGCTTCTTACTCATATGGTTACGAAGGGCGCCCCGTTGTCGCGCACGGTAGTCGCACATATTGCAGGGATAGGGCCGCTCACCGGTATGCGTCCGCAGGTGGCGTTCGAGGTCCTTGTACGAAGGAAAGCTCTTATTTACACAGTAAGGGCAAGGTTTTCGTGTGAATGATCCTGTCAGTGTAGCGCCGGCTCGCATGCTTCGAGCGATCAATTGCGAAGGAGGAACGTTCTGCGCCACTTGGCCAGTGCTCGAATTGCCGGCAGCCCCAGCATTAACTTGACCCATTCGCGTTGGAGTCGGTCTATGAATTATCATGTGCGCATGCCTCGAAGAATGAGCTAAAGGGTCTTCATTAGCAGCTGTTGGCGCTTGGGCTGTTATGGAGTTGGTGGCTGCTGGACATGGTGGACTGACTGGTGATGTAGACGACTGAACCGCAGAAGACGGCGATGACGGCGGCGCCTGCCGAAGTGAGGTCCTCAGAGGAGTAATGACCGATGGCATCGGTACCACCGCTATACGTGACGGGTGCTTCGTAGGAACAGTATCAAACGCACCGGTACGCTCGTTGTGAATCGATGCAGCGGCGACGAGCGAGCGAGTGATAACGGGTGGACGCTCGTCCAACACGGGAGAGGCGGTTGGATGATGAGGTAGACGTTTACTAATAAGCGACAGCAGAGCCATCTGTGATGGCTGCGAGCTGGGCGACGGGGGCGATCCTCGCTGGCTGGCAGATTTTCTCGCTGAATCGGTCACTGTTGTTGTCGAAGACAGCGTTAGATGCTCAACTAACGGTCTATACGCGGGCGAAATGAAATCTGCTCGTGAGGCAGCTAACTCTAGAGTGCGCTGCGTCGTGTCGCTGTTTACGCCAATACATGCTCCGACCTCATCATTTGACGGGACAAAATGCTGCTGACCTCTCGGAGGCGGTGTAGTTTTTTCTGACGCAGTCTCTGGACACGCACCGTGATGCACAGTCGCCTGTGCTGTAGCTACTGCAGAGGCATCTCGTACTGTAAATAACGTAGATGACGCTGACGTTGAAGCGAGGATCGAGTACGGTACTAACATTGCAGTAGGCGGAGGAGTTGTACTTGGCGAAGATGCCGCAGAACATTCCCCAGAGGAGAGGAGCTCGGCCCTTGAATGCCCGGAGTGTTCTGATTGAGAATCTGATTGGGCGCTCGGGCAATAACCATGGCCGACGACAAGCAAAGGTGAAGATTTTCGACAATTTAAAAATGCTGCCGATAGCTGTCTTCTTGTGTAAGAAAGATTCACTTCTTCAGAAGACTGTATTACAGGTGTTGTTGTTGCTGGGGGCGTTTCCATTTGTATGGCCACTGGCGGCGCACACGTCGCGCCGACAGGAGGGAAAGATGGCCTTCCTAATCTTGTTGCTGTTGTCGCTACTGTTGCTGTTGCTGCTACGTCGACGGCATTCGGTATACTAAGGTTTGATGGCGGAAGTGCAGAGGCGCTTTCTGTAAGGGAAGACTAGAATTAGTCGTGTTTTTGCCTGTGTTCCTCATATACAATCGTTGAATAACTGAATCTATAAAGCCTAGAAAGCGAGGTACAAAGCTTCATACGGATAAGTGGACCGTAGCGAGAAAAGACACGTGACAAGTTTTCGTCAGTTTTTTTTTTATTAGCCCTATAAGTATTGAAAAATTATAAAGAAACTGCCGAACAAAGAAAAATCCTAAATGGAAATAAGAAAACACTACAATATATTGACGTTTCCTTGAGTCAGCATGTACCTGCTATCACGGGCTATTTCCAAACACAGTCCGATATGTACAGCAGATTGATTTGGTGGAGGGATAAAAACTTGTCGACTGTTCAGTGACGATCTTAAGATAGGGCTTGTCCTGCCATGTTACTTCGTCGCGGTCGAACTCCCACAGCAGGCAACGGTTCATCGTTTACGAATGCCGTTACTATTGCCGTAAGCGCACTGAGCAGCTGGCGAGAGACTATCTTCATGAGTATCATGGTCTGAAACGGAGACGTTTGTTAGTTTGGATCCGCACGGACTCTCTAACGTGCGCTGCTGTAATACAAAGTGGAAAAAGTATATACGTACAGGGTTTCTGCTGTTTACCGTTTTTTTTTTGTGACAACTTTTCGTTACCGGTGCTAAAGTAGAGAAGCCTTTAATCCGCGTCTGCAGTCGTTCTTCTATCGGAATTCTGCAGATGCGCCCTTGCACGCGAAGTGCGACACTTCAGATAAATCAATATAACTGTAATGAAACAACCGGGATAATGTACGATGCCGAATAGAACTCAGATCACTGACGTCGGCGATCGCTGGCAACCTACTGTAACTTACCTACATCTGTAATGGTGTAACAACTTTGTTAATTGTGATATATGAGAGAACTAATACTTGGCCAGAGGTTCTGTCGTTCGTAGGTTGGTCCTGTGCGACTTCTTTGGCCATACGCAGTAGAGTTAATTGGTCGTGTTCCTATTGTAGACCACCCCACGCAGCATCGTGAGCTTTAAGCTAATTAATCTGGACTTTAACAATGTCTCATGATTCAGTCAAGGTTATCTCTTCTGTACGTCTACAAAACTCCATGCGTCAATAGGAAATATCGTATTGAAACCACTGGCCAGCGGGAATAGTTTAATAACAACAACAACAGCTAAAAAAAACATGCAATAAAAACACGACCACTTTCGACTTGTTAGAAAATAAATACTTTATTATTTATTCATGCACTTGTATATATATATATATAATTACATATCTAGAGTTTGTTGCTATTTTTTTCGTTTTATTGCAATTGTCGTTGTTGCATTTTGATTTGTTCCTTTCATTTGATTTTTAAAAAAATATCTTCAGCGCCTTTTTGGCTATGTTCGATAGTGTATATTGCATATCATTTTTCTACAACAGTACTTTTACCATTAGAAGTTGTACTGTCTCAACGCGTACCGTGTAAAAAATACAGATAATAATAGTAGTAATTGTATGATACGATACTAACACAAAGTTCATTAAGAACGTTATAAATAATTAACATTAATGAGAAGATGGTGCTGTTATTTCGATTGGACTTCAGGCGTAACCAATCTACTACAATGTAATAACATACACAAAAATCCCATTTGGTGTCAACGTTATTCCAGGCCTGTACTCACGATTTGCCTATCGCCAAAATGGTTCTGATCTGGTGCGACCTAGTCGTCGATATGATAGGCCATCACGGCTGTATTGTTACAATAGGAAACCAAAAGAAGCTGTTTCAGGTAGAAAACAATTATAGCGTCAGTGATGCTGATGTACCCGGCAACGTTTTCATAGTCAGCGTAAAAAAAAAGAGAGAAAAAAAACAAAAAAAAAAAAAAAGAGAGAGAGAGAGAGAGAGAGAGAGAGAAAAATAGCCAATAACAGTTGTTATTTATTGTTATCGTATCAATAAAATTAACATTTTATCATTAATATAGCATTCATTCAACCCGTGTTTCACCCACGGAGTGATACTATCGGTGGGTTTCATGGAATATTTCGAGGCTGTTACGTCTCCCGGCTCTACATCACCACGACGGCAACAACTCGTGTCTGCTTTTATATATATATATATATAACCGTGCTAGCAGAAACATAATAATATTATGAGTTCATTCTACATAATCTATTCCTAGCCGACGTCGTCTTTAGCACAAGCTCGTTGAACATACAGTCATTAGAAGCAAGGAAAACGTTTCATAGTACCGTCACAAGGCGGATACTGGCTGGACCCGTTAGAGGTTTGCTTGAGCGATCTCGGCACATAATAACAATATATTATTCTAACGGCACGAAAATAAAAACGACCAATTACAATGACAAATCCGTTTCTAAAAGACGACGTTAGCGTTGATTTCAGGTCTTCGAAAGGACGACTTAAAAAAAAAACGTTTTCCAAATGTCTCCTACAATTTAATTGGAATTGAATATATATACTGTGTCACTTTCGCCAAGGGTCGAATCTGTTGGTGGGTTAATTCCATCTCATTGAATGGCTCGGATGGTGTACAAACTTGTTATTGCAACAAGTAGCAACTTAAATTGAATATAGAGTTGAAGTCCATAGAGTTAGTCACCGATAAACTACAGCGCCCGATAAAAAAGGCAAGGATAGGATTTGAAGTATTAGGAAAAATGAGCATTCTTTAGTCAATCTCAATGCCAGCTTGTAAACCGTACTTTGCTCTACAGCATATATAGATAGTGAGAAAAAGCCGACAATCGTTAGTCTCTACTGAACTCGTCATAGAAAAATATCAGTATAATAATAATAATAATAGGAGTATATGAGTTTATAGGGGAAGTTTCATTCGATTAGTATGCATAGTGGGTCGGCTCTTGCCTGTCAGAGTGTTGATGGTGATTCATTTTGAATCTTAGCGGTCCAATGGCGGTACACGCCATGGTCAGATGCTACCATAGTCGCCGCTGCCTATTCATTGCGTATTGTTCAAACATGCACTTACTCATCAATTAAACTATCTATTTACCTACAGCGCGGACACCAGCTTGCTGGTCTCAGCATCTCAGTTATTCAGCACACAGATAGAATAAAAAAAATTTGTGATCATAAATATAAATCGCGAAAATAATGCAAATACTGCAAAAACTTTACTAGGAGAAGAAAAAATAGCAGTCATTCATCACTCTTCGTATTTGTAGTTTATGTGCGATTCTCCATTGAGTCCTTTTCTGCTTCACCGCCGCGTACTTACAAGCTGACAAATTGAACACCTGTAATTTTCCCTGTAAGCTTTTCTTTGTTGACAGATTTGAGGTTTCGTAATAACAGCAGAAAAAAATACGTCGCGAACTTTTGGACCTTTCGTATAGGCAGAATTTTCTCTGTAGCTGAGCAACGACCGGGGGTCTCAAATTCTACCCCTCTGCGCCAGTTGCGCAAGCAACGGCTAGTATAATGGTGTACGCTAAGGACAATCAGAGGTTACGACCATCAGCACTTCTTGCTCGTCTTCGGCGGTCAGCTGCTCGTGAACGATATGAAACAAACGAGTGACGTAACGTACAGACGAGCTGACGAATATCCCATCTTTCATTAGCGATGCTCCGTGGGTGAGGTACGCACACGCATAAACTCACAAAGAAAGTAAGGAATGTAAAGAAGAAATAATGTACCGCAATGTCTGCATAGTAGTAGAAGAGCAACTCGACCGAAGCTAATTAACTTACGTCGGCAGTTCTACTTCGATATAACTTATTGCATGTATTGGATCAATTTCGTTGCGAATCCAAGTTACCCAAAGCTCTCCATGTCAGGTGGAGAGGTAGAGCTTCGCTCGGAACGCTGATAGGCACCAACAGTCGTGCCAACTCAAAGATTGACTGCTCTCAAATGCTCTATGGTAATGTAATAAAAATATGCTAAAAGATAGATCTTCCACCTAGCTTCATCTCGAGGAGAGTTCTATAGAAAACGTTTGAACGATGGTCCAGAAAGCCATTGTCCCAGATAGTCTTCGTCTGCTAATGAGCATTTTCATATCACTCATTATATCATTGTAATATATCGCATTGGGACATTGAAGGGTTGTTGAAGTTACCTTGCACGCGTATAAACGGGTTATTGTGCGAACAGATGTGTGTGTGTGTGTGTGTAAACAATTCGTAGAGAAAAATACGTTCGCAATTGATTTCGTTAATACTCGCATTCGTCCGTAAACAATTGTTTCAATCGTAATAGCGATAATAACAACTACGACCATAGTAATACAATAGAGATTTTGAACACACAGAGATGGATGAAGTGAGCAACAATAGCTTTCACACAGTACGAAGTAAATATTTATCTAAATTGGCATGTATTACATGATATATATATATATATATATATATTTGTATGTATGTATGTGTGTATATATCGTGGTATGAATCATATACTTATTTATGTATTGTATAATATAATCTCTCTGTTATCTAATCGATTTCCTCTCTGATAATTGCACATTTTATATTGCAGCACTGACACGTAGAGGCGCCATTAATTAATTAATTAGAAAGTAAACAGAAAATATATTAAACAACTATTAGTAATTGCAATATGATTGTTATTATATGACGGCTGGCCTGACAGTGTCTCTCTCTCCTTTGTATGCATTATACCTACTATAAAAAAAATCATCGCCGCCCTCCTTCGAGAAAAATGGAATGTACTGTTATTGCTTCTATGTTAATAGCAGAAATTGTACTATTCGATTCCGAACGTAATCTCTGTATAAATGTGACCTCAGTACGTGATTACTGCGACTCGGCACAGGACATCGGAACGTCCTTCGGAACGTCCTTCGATCGGATAGATACGTTCGTATGAAGTTCGTTGTATGTCTATATACAACCGATGGGATAGCGTAGCAATAGTGCTACAGACTATTTCTAAGACTCTCACCCGTCACAAGTTCGTTTCGTATCATCGACGCATCACCACAAACATTGTCGGTAATTGTTCTTTTCGGCAAGATAGAACTGGCTAAAACTTCGTTCCTGGCAAATCAGCAATAAAGGCTTGCAAATTTTTTTTACAAGGAGCCTTAAAAAGGTACGAGGCGACAAAGGCCGGGTCTGTAGAATTAACTGGATGTAGTTCGAAGTCGTTAGTCACCTTGAGCGTCTAGTGTGCGCTTTTCGTCGGTAACTCGCTTCTTCTGTTGTGTGGAACGGCGAGACTCATTATAAAACATGATCGAGTATTACATTGGTGCGACATGACATTTTGCCGGTTAGACGGTAAACCAGAGACGGCAATCATCTTCAGCATAAATACTTTTTACTAAAAGAGCCTTCTGTACTATTTAAAGGAGACTGAGCAAATGCAGGCCATTGTCGAACACCCTTCACCGATGAGCCATGGTACGCATCACAAAAAACGAAGAACGTCGATCGGCGCTTGATCATCGGCGACCGACCCGCTCTTCTTACAGGACCGCTTCAAATTCATCCACACCAGGGCGGTACGTCTTTTTGCCGACTGAGTATATTATGTAAATAATTTAAACTATATAAATGCGTTGCTGAGTTAAGCCCATTTAGTGAATTGAAGATGGTCCCATTACGAGTTAGCCGCTAGGAAAAGTCGTTCACGAAAGACACTGTTTTTCCCCTATCACCTGCTATCACCCATACCGAACTGTTACGCACATTCACTCCACATATATATATA